CAAACCGCGCGCCCCCCGCAGCAACATCCGGCCGCAGCGCCCTGGAGACGGCCGCACCCGAACGACAGCTCTCCCGACCAATAGCAGCCCGGGATGGTCAGCTAATAAGGGTGTGGCGGCCAAGAGGAGCCAATAGAAAGCAGGGGGGCGGGGACGAGGGCGGTGCGGGTCGAAGGGAAGCCGGAAGTGGTGGCGGGGCGGCCGCGTGGGGAGCGGCGGAGCCATGGGCCGGGGACCGGGACCGGGACCGGGACCGGCCCGGGGCCGGAGACCGGGACCGGGACCGGCACAGGGACCGGCACCAGGGCGGGGACAGGCCGCCCCGCGCCGCGGCAGGTCAGTGCCCGGGGAATCCGGTCGGGATCGGGCCTGGCTGGTTCCCGGTTCGGGGCCTGGTCCAACGCGGGATCAAGGGGTTCCCCAGTGCCGATTGGGTCCTGGCGGGGGTCCCCGCTTCTGGGAGCTGGGTCCCGGTGTGTCCTGACCTCACCAGGTCCAGGTGCTCCGATATCCAGCCATGCCCGGGTCCCAACGTTCCTTCGTGCCCGGGTCTCAGTGCCCAGGTCGCTGTGTCCCACTACTCCCGTGTCCCGGTGTTTCAGTGCAGGCCTCACACCATGTTTATTCTCTCCCAGGAAGGAGAAGAAGGTGGACAACATGAAGCCCAAGCACCCCGACGAACAGGAGATCCCCTTCCGCCTGCGGGAGCTCATCAGGAGCCGTGAGGCCATGAAGCGCCCCGATCCCGGGAAGAGGCGGGCGGCAGGTGGGATGCGGAGCTGGCCCGAGCAGGGGTGCCCAGGGCCCGGCCGAGGAGCCCGCAGTGGTGTAGCTGGAGGCAGCTGGATCCTGCAGTGGGACATGCTGCTCCCCCCGGTGATGTCCCATCTGTGCCCTGCTAGGGGAAGGGGAACCCCCAGATTGTCACTGCTGCAGTAATGTCACCCATCTCTCCTAGAGAAGAAGCAGCAGCCCAAGTCAAAGGGGCCCGAGGCCCAGGGGGACATCCCCGTGCCCAAATTCAGGAGGGGGAAGGGGGAGTCGGAGCGCTCTTACGTCTGCCGCATGGAGCAGGAGGTGCAGCGCGTCCTCTTCCTCACCAAGAACCAGCTGCAGCGGGAGCCTGAGAAGGAGGCGACGGCACCGGAGAAGTCCAAGAGAAAGAAAGAGTGAGAGCAAGGCCACCATGGCTGCCTGGGCTGGACTGGGTCAGCCCAGGCCTGTGCCCCAGCCTGGTTCTGGGTACCTGGTGGGTGCTTTCGCTGGTGCTGCAGCATAGGTCTGGCATCTGCCAGCGACTGGGGGTGCGGGTGGAGGGCTGTGGACCTCATCTCCATGGGGCCTGGGACTGGAGCCACAGACCTGCTTCACCCTGCTGCTGGGCTGGAGCTGTGGGGAGAGGTGTGGGGCCCCAGGTTTTGGGGGGAATCCCGTGGGGTAGGAACTCGCTTACTTGCTCCCTGTCTGGTCATAACGCAGCTCTTCAGGTTTCAGAATAAGAAACTAGAAAAAGCTCGGAAGAAGAAGGAGGAGAAGAAAGAGGCTATGCTGGAGAAGAGCCTGTTCCAAGGTGGGTCTGGTGCAGTGGGGTGGCTGGAGTCACCCCCTGCCCCGGCAGCGTGTGGAGAGGTGGGGGCGAGCTGGAGCAGTGCGTCCCGGGGGAGCTCCTGCCTGACGCCAGTGCCTGCTTCTGTCTCTTAGACACGGTGGCGTTCGGTGAAGTGGTTATGCAGCCGCCCACCATCACCTCACGGCCCAGGGGCCGGGGCCCTGCAGAGCAGGTGAGCTGTGGGGGGCAATGCCTCCTGCCCCTCAGCCATGCCCTTGGGTACCCACAGGTCTGGGCTGGATCCCGGTCATCTCACTCCCTTGGGCTGGGAATCAGGCCTGGAAGGGCAGCGGTGGCCTCAGCCTCCTGCTGACAGTTCCTTGGAGCTCTGTCCTGGCTTTTTCATCCTTCATCCTCCCTGAGTTGTCCCATCTCTGCCCACAGGCTGGACGGAAGCGGCTCCTCCTGACGTCTCGCCTGGGCCAGAGCCAGGCGTCCCTGGCAGCGCCGGTGTCGATGGCTCGCCGGCGCATCGTGGAGGAGGAGAGAGCGCGTGTCATCCAGGCTTACAGGGACATCCAGAGGCGCAAACAGCAGCAGCGGGAGGCGGCACAGGGGAGTGCTCAGGCCCGACGCAGGGTCCCCTGCTGAGCCCAGCCTGGAGGAGCTGGGCCTCCCTGGTCCCAACGAGGGTGTGCAGGCAGAGTGTGGGCAGCACGGGACCCCAGGACTTGAGGGGGGATGGTTGTCCTCATTGCTGCTCTTCTGTTGCTGAGCCTTGGGGCTCCCCACAGCCCCGCACCTCAGCTCGGGGCACCCCACGGGCTCAGCGCTGGAGCCAAGAGCACTGCAGTGCCACAAACCTGCTTGTAGTAAAACTGCCGTTGAGTGCTAATGGCGTCAGCGCGTCTGTGCCTCCCTGACCTGTCCGGATTCCTTCCTGCGTGGCAGCTGGGAAGGGACACGGCTGTGCCGGTGTGTGCGTGGCTGTGCCGGCACGTGTGCCGGCAGATGGCAGTCCCGGCCCGCAGTGGGCCTGTTGTCACTGTCACTAGCTGCCGGCTGGCCCTGGCAGGGCTCTGGTTGCGGGCAGGACCCTTGTTGCTCAGTCTCGGGGGAGACTCCAGTGCCTGGCCATGACATCTCTGGCTCCCACCCTGGCTCCCGGTTGGAGGAGAGCGAGCCGAGCCCCAGGGACGTGGAGCATCCCGCAGTCCGTAGGACTCACCTGCACTGTGTCACTCCTCCGTTGTCACTGCTCAGGGATGCCGCATGTATCCTTAGTCCCTAACCATGCTCACCCCTGCCCTTGGCATCACCACCCAGCCCTGCCTGTCCCTGGCAGATACCCCACGTCATGGTGACCGCAGTGCCCCCCCTGCTACCAGGGATGCTGTTACAGCCCCATCGCTGCACCCACACCAGTCCCATGCCAAGTGGCACAGCCACGAGGCCCTGAGCAATCCAGACCTGGCACATACCCCACTGGGGCTGACAGCCCCCCAGCTCCCAGTCCTTGAGGAGGGATCCAGGGGGCTGCTCCCGGCACAGGGTGGCCCACATTTGCCCGTGGGGCCGGCACGGTGGCTTCACCTGCACAGGACAAAGGCAGTGCTGTTTGGCGGCCCCCGAGCCGTGGTGCCTGCACAAAGCATTGCCTGTTGGAGCGGGGCTGGCCCCGGCTCTGCGGCCGACGCTGACGGCAGCCGGTGGGATCCCGGGCTTCCGGAGGGGCTGGGGCCGGACATGGGTAGCGGAGACACCGGCCGCTCTGGTGTCCTCTGCCAGAGCAGAATGGGGACAGAGTCTTTGCTCCTCATTTTTCAGGTGACTCTGCTGCCCCTGGGACTGTCACCTCTTTCCTTGCACCCCGGGAATGCCGGGCTCTGCCGCACCATGGCTGGGGACGCTGCCCACACCAGCCTGGCTCAGGGCTGGGCTTGCAGGCGATGTACCTTTGTTGGGGGGCACACGCTGGGGCCCCGCTGTGCCATGCGGTGCCAGCAGCTGGGAGGAGGGAGCATTGCGGTGGCAGCAGCCTTGGGGACGTCGAGTGCCTGGTGCTGCTTGGAGATCTCCCTGCTGCCAGCTAGTGCCAGGTAAACATGGGTGACGCAGCACAGCCCCGGAGTGGGGGGGCACAGCCAGATCCTGCTGCAAACAGCCAGTTCCCGCAGCCGTCCCCAGCCTTCAGGGCTGCGCCTGCCCTGCCGTGTCCCCAGAGCTGGGAGCGTGGGCACGTGCTGGCTGGCAAGGGCATGGCCGGGACGTCGCACGTGCCAAACTCTTGCTCGCGCATCCCTCGTGCGGGCGCCGTGGCTGTGCAGGGCGCTCGTGCTTGCAGCCACGGGCAACCCCACTGCCGCCAGCCCGGCTCCGGCTCAAGGAGACCAGGTCAGCCGCCTGCCCCCACGGAGCCATTTCAGCCCCTGAATAATTCATGGCATTGCTGGCCGCGGCCGCAGGCTTCCTGCCCGGTAGGAGAAATCGCTGTGGAGGGGAAAGGCAATCTGAGCAGGAGAAACCGCCCCCGACCTTGGCATGTCCTCCGTGCCGTGCCGCTTCCCGCCAGGCAGCCCATCTGCCCGTGGGCTGCTGGTCCCGTGTTGCCTGCCCTGCCGAGGCTGCCGGCTCCCGGCCCAGCGTCCCCATCTGTGTGCCTGGCCCCGGCACACGCTGCCGCAGGGGGACACGGAACAGGGGCTGTGGGATGCTGAGAGCCCTGCTCTGAGCCCCCCCTTGCTCCGTGTCACCCCCCAGGAGAGGGATGTGGGGCTGAGCCCACCGGCACCGTGGTGGAAGCCCTTGGCTCCAGCGAGGTCAGGGATGCGGGAGCAGCCGGTGGCACGGCTGGGTACCCCCTCCCCATCGTGGGCCGCCTGCTACAGCACCGCGTAGGAAAAAACACCTTTATTGGGGCTGACCTGAAAAAAAGGGGGAAGAGGAAGAACAACAGAGAAAGCCACGAGTAGGGCAAGGGGCCCAGCTCCCTCCCTGCTCCCTGGGAGGGTTCCCCAAGCCCCGAGGGGGGAAGGCACCGAAAAGGCGGCCGGAGCTGCAGGGGGCCGGGTTCCCCAGCCCCAGCAAGGCACTGATCCCCCAGACCCCGAGCAGCCCCCCCTTCCCCAGCAATGGGGAAACTGAGGCACAGCGGGAGCCAGACCTGGGGACAGCTTTGTGTCACCTTGTGCCCTGCAGCGGGATGGTGCCGACTCGGCTCAGGGCCTGCGACGTCCCCGGGGCTGGCGAGGATCAGTGTGGAACTGGGGGCTCAGCGCTGGGGGGCAGCCCCGGGCAGGAGTCCCACCGGCTCCCCGGCAGCAGATGGTCCCTGGCCCAGGGGGGACAGCGTGTCCGTGCATCATGAAGGCAGCGAGGGGTCGACTTGGGGTGACCCCGCGGGAGCTGGTCCTTGCGGCAGGGACAGCGGCAGGGATGCGGGGGTCCGGGCAGAGCTGGCGGCTTGCGGGTGCTGCGGCCAGGCGGGACGGGCAGGCAGGAGTGTGGCTCCAGGACTGTGTCCGGACGTCCCCCACGCAGGAACCGGCTCCGGCCGCTGGACGGGGTGGGATGTACGCGGCGGGGCGGGAGGAGGCTTGGCGAGACCTCAGGAGCGGGACAGCGGGGCCGCGGCTGTGCCGGCGCTGCAGGACCCGTGCCACGGGGGCTTCACCACCGGTTCCTGCCGTACGGGGACTGCACCTGCTGGCAGAGCGGGATGGCACTGGGGTGGCATGGTGGTGGCAGCGGGATTGCGGCAAGGGCCGGCAGACCCGGCTCTGGCACTGGCAGGGTGGTGCAGCCTCACTCACCCCGGGGCTCTGGCGTGCCAGGCAGAGCCATCCCTGCCCCTGCCCTCCCACAGGAGATGCTGCAGCAGGGACGGACTTTGCCCCAAACCGTGGGCTGGACCTCGGTGCCCGCTCTCCCGCCCGCTGTGTTGCACATTAACCCACCTGGCAGCTCCTGCCATCCCGCTGGGCGCCGGCGTGCCGGGCCTGCGCCGCGAAGGCGTCCTCGGCTCGCAGCGTGGAGCTGGCGCTGCCGGCTGCCGGGCTGGTGGTGGAGGCGCGGGGCAGGATCACGTCATAGGGACCTTCGGTCTGAGGGGCAGACACGGGGGGCTGTAGCGGCACTGGGAGCGCCCCCAGCCCCACAGCATCCCGGGGGAGGAAGGTGAGGGGTAAACCCCCCCCAGCACCCTGTTACAGCGGTCCTTGGGACATGGGGGCGAGGGGAGGCACCCCCCAGAGCCCCCCCACACCCTGGTCCCTGTCCCAGCCACTCCGGTTGAAAGCCCGTCCCTCAGGCAGAATGCGGCCGCCCCCAGAAAGCCCAGCTGGCCGGCGGTGCTGCGTGGCATCGCACTTACCGGACCCTTGTGCATCAGAGCCATCTCGGTGGGCTGGTAGACGCTGGTCAGCAGCTGGCCGTTGTAGCCACTGTATGGGGACACCGGCTTCTTGGCTGCAAAGAGATGGGGATGGTGAAGGGCGGGGGGGGGTATCACAGAGCCACCCCAACCAGGGAGCTGCTCCTCATTAGCAGGTTTAATGAGCTGACTCGGCAGCCGGCTGCTCTGTGCCTTTCCCGAGGAACAGGAGGGATGTCCCCAGGGTTTGCATCACCGCGCTCCCGGCACAGCCCCTGCCCGGCCAGGATTTGTTATTGTAGGGTCTCTCCAGAGGCAGGGTGGTGTGGGTGCCGCTCGGGAGCGCCCACCCTGCCCCGTGGGCTGCAGACACCTTTGCTGGGGCAGGGCTGGTGCCTGCCCGCCAGTCCCCATTGGGGCAGCTGACACCACCCCGTGTTATTGTAGGGTCTTGCCGGTGCCGCCGCGATGGCAACGCTTCCCCTATTAGGAAGAAACGTGGTGGAGTGGCTGCCCGGGGCAGAGGGCCAGGAGCCGCGGGCACCCCATGCCGGGGAGGAAGCACCCCTGCCACTGCTGAGCTCAGCCCAAACTGGTAGACCCAGCCCAGCGAGTTCTTGGGAGCCACAACAACAGCAGGCGTCAATTCCGGGCGGGTCACGGCCAGACGTCTCGCCGCCTGCCCATCACTGCCAGCCCTGGTGCCGGTGCCCTCCGCCAGCCCCGCCGTGGGGGCAAGAGGGTCCCTGGTGAGCCTCGGTGCCTACCGAAGGAGGGCTCGTCCATGGAGAAGGCTTTGTTCTCCACAAACATGCTCTGTGACTTCTGCTCCTTGAGGATGGTCTCGTAGCCCACCCCACGTGTGGGGTAGACGTCGTCCTCGAAGGCTTGCTCGGGTCCCCGCCGCGTCACGTGCGTCACCTCGGGGATGACGTAGAGGAGGAGGAAGGTGCAGGCGTTGGAGACCAGCGCGATGGCCAGCGTGGGGTCATCCCAGCCGGGCTTCTTGCCCACTTGCTGGTTCCCATAGAGGTACATCGCCATCCACGCCACCCAAATGGCCATGGAGAGGCCGGTGGTGGCCAGGATGAAGGCGCTGTGCTTGCGCCAGCGGCCATAGCGGCCGCAGAGGGCTGGCCAGGCAGTGCCGAAGGCGGCCACCAGCAGGAACATGACGTAGATGAGTGCCATGACGAAGTCAGCGTCCTCCAGCCGGCAAGGGTCCGGGGAGCCACCCTCCTGCCGCGCCACCGTGATGATGAGCCACTCGGCGTTGATGATGACCTCCACCAAGGTGAGGAGCAGGGCCACTGCCAGCGTCACCCAGCCCCGCGGGCCCCGGTTCCTCCGCACCAAGAAGTTGAGGGCCACGGCGTGCGCCAGCAGGCAGGAGAAGCAGATGCCGAAGAGAACGCCGAAGAGGAAGCGGCGGGAGGTGCAGGTGGAGAAATCCGGCCCCACGATGAAGTCGAACGTCAGGCAGAAGAGCCCGAAGGTGCCCAGAAGAAAGAAGACCTGCGTGGCCACCAGGCTCTTCTTCTGGGAGTCCTGCATGAAGGGCAGGCTGGCCACCAGGACGATGGTGAGCACGAAGCTGGTCACCACGCCGAGGCTGGCCACGGCCTCCAGCACGATGCCCCAGGCTGCCGAGAGGTCGCAGAGGTTGTAGTAGAGGGAGGAGAGGTCCTTGTTGCAGCCGGAGGGAGGGGTGGTCTGTCCGCCGGTCACAGGGACCAGGGCCAGCAGGATGCAGGCGGCCGCCGGCAGCACCGCCACAGCACCCATCCTGCACCGTGGTGCGGGCGCTGAGCGGGGCATCCAGGGACCCTGTGGGACAGAGAGGGTGTTAGGAAGCAGGGACAGGGGCCGTGGCTCAGCTCCCAGCGCTGTCTGTGCCATTTCCAGGGCTCAGAGCATCTCTGCACGCAGTCCCCACTGAGCATCCCTTCTGCCGGGCCACGGCGATTGATCAGGTCCCGGTGAGCCCTGTCCGCACCGGCAGAGCTGAGTCCACCCCACCACGGCCCAAAGCAACCCCAGATGGGACCGGGCAGACACGTTTCCCCCATCGGCTCCTTGCCTGGAGGCCGGAGGCAGCTGAGAGGCGCTCGGCCCTCTGTGCCCCACAAGCTCCCTCCTGACATGGGATTTCTCCAAGCGCGGCCAGCTCTGGGGCTGTGCCGATCCCTTCCTCCGGTACCCGGAGCAAGCAGCAGCACCGTGCCTGCTGGCTTCCCCGGGAACACCGAACGCAGGCCTGGGTGGGATGGCAGAGGTAATGCCTGGGGACAGGGCTGTCCCCTCAGCTTGTCCCTGCGTGCCAGCTCGTTCCCCTTTCCACTTCTCCTGTCCCACTTCCTTCCTCTGGCTCCAAACACCGACCCAGCACAGGTCCCGTGTCTGGCACTGCCGGCTGCTGGCACGCAGGCAGCTGCAGCCTGGCACGGCACGGCACGGGTATGGCACATCACGGCACGGCACGGGGGTCCCTGTCCCCGCTCCTGTGGCCCTGGAGAGCACGGGGTGGGCACAGGGAAGAGGAGGCAGCGAGGAAGCTGCTGCCCCCCATTGTTGGGGGGTGTGAGGGGGGGAAAACCCGACAGGAGACCTCCGGCAAGGTGACCCCGAGCTGGAGCAGGAGCAGTGCCCGGGGCCGGGCCCCCCACCCCCCGCTCCCCGGAGCCCAGGCAGCCCCCTCCCCGCCGCCGGGGCCGCA